GCGTGAGGTGGGAGCGATTAGCACTTCGTGATTACTACGGAAACCAATCCGTAGAATCGGGGCAGCAGCGGTGCAACGGCAGCAGCGGCGCGTGAGGTCACGGCGGCGCGTGTAGTGTACGCGCGGCTTCGGGACGGCGCGTGGGGCAGCGTGCGGCTTCGGCTCGTGCGTTGCTCCTCGACTTTTCGATCTACAGTCTTCCTCCTCTCGGATTTCACCTCGTATACTTCGATCTACTAAATCGTGGCACTAGACACGAAGTAGTTAGAATAAAACGGAAGAAAAAGAAAGGAGAAAGAATACCGAATCAAGGAACGGCCGACGAACGGCCGGTTCCGGCGACGGAGCGGCGACGGTGGTGCGGTGGTGGCCGCGCGGGAGTGAGGGCGAGAGAGAGAGGGTCGGCCGCTTTAGGGTTAGGGTTTCATCTTTTTTTTTGTGTAAGGGCTATAAGTCATGTATTTATAGTCCCTTGCATATAACCCTAGCGGGCTTAAGTTGGACTGGGCCCAACAGCTTAAGCTCGTTAGTTCCTCTACTTGCTCGTATCTCTCAATTCAATGACCGAAAAATTGCAACGATTACATTTTCGGAATCATTATAACTTCCTCGTCATTACGAGTGCCATCTCTTGTTTTCCAACTTTCCAAAAGTGGAAACCCTAGTTCAGTGGACTTTCTAAATTTGGAAACTTCTCGATTTAGAAAGTTCACTAACATGTTCGCCTATTCTTTTCCTTTTCTTATTCTCATTCGTAATTCCAAATTATGAATGTTGGATTCAATCATATTGACTTCCAATCATGCAAAGATAAACTATTTTATCTCTGACCGTTTATTCAAAGATCTCATGTGTTGGGTTTCGGGCACGTATACGCAGCGGAAAACAAAAATTTTACGTGATTTAAACGACTTTAAAACACACAAGTACATGCCCGATAAATTAAATCAATTAATTGCGTACCTTTGCGCTTCCAGCGAAATTAAAAACAACATACATGCTAATAAATTTAACCGAATTTAAATCAATTAACATGCTCGCATTTAAACCAAATAACATGCTTGCAACGATTTAATCGATTACACATAATCACATAAAATCATACAAACATAAGCATGAAATCATAGTTTAAATTTAAACCCTAAAACGAAACTAGGGTTTCGAGTATTTACCTCTTGACGCGTGAGGTAGGAGTGAACGATACGTCGTGATTACTACGGAAACCAATCCGTAGAATCGGGGCAGCAATGGAGCAGCAGCAGCGGCGGTGTGGCAGCTCACGGCGGGCCGTGTAGAGCACGCGCGGTCTTCCAGGGCGGCGCGTGGGGCAGCGTGCAGCTTCGGCTCGTGCGTTGCTCCTCGATTCTTCGATCTACGGTCTTCCTCCTCTCGGATTTCACCTCGTATACTTCGATCTACTAAATCGTGGCACTAGACACGAAATAGTTAGAATAAAACGGAAAGAATAATGAAGGAGAAAGGATACCGAACAAGAACGGCCGACGAACGGCCGTTTTCCGGCGACGGAGCGACGCCAACGGCGGAGGTGGCCGCGCGGGAGAGGGGCGAGAGAGAGAGAGGTCGGCCGCTTAGGGTTAGGGTTTTTGTTATGTGTGCTAGGGTTATAAATCATGTATTTATAGTCCCTTGCATGAAACCCTAGCGGGCTTAAGTTGGACTGGGCCCAACAGCTTAAGCTCGTTAGTTTCTTTAATCGCTCGTATCTCTCAATTCAATGATCGAAAAATTGTAACGATTACATTTTCCGAGTCATTATAATTTTCTCGTCATTACGAGTGCCATCTCTTATTTTCCAACTTTCCAAAAGTGGAAACCCTAGTTCAGTGGACTTTCTAAATTTGGAAACTTCCCGATTTAGAAAGTTCACTAACACGTTCGCTTATTCTTTTCCTTTTCTTATTCTCATTCATAATTCCAAATTACGAATGTTGGACTCAATCATATTGACTTCCAATTATGCAAAGATAAACTATTTTATCTCTGACCGTTTATTCAAAGATCTCATGTGCACGAGCAGTGTGACCCTCGATGGTTCAGGTGTAAGCTAGCCGTGGGCCCACAACTCTTTGTGGTCAAAACTCGTCCCTTAGAGTTACGATTAAGATGAAGCTCGTTTCACCTTAATCACCCAACGAATCAAGATTGGCGTCTAGCAACTACGCGTCATGATTCCCTAGATACAAATGAAGTGCCTGCAAGAACCTTCAGATATAGTTAAAGTACAGTACGGTCCCTTCGATTCATATGTCCCGATCGAACTAGAGGCATTGGTTCATCGAGACCTCTTTATATGTTCAATAACGGTGCGATCGTTCTAAGTGTTGTAATCCTTACGTGCATGACTTAAAGAATCGAATTCTCTAATCATCACTTAGTCAGCTCTGGCCAGAGACTTAGAATGATTACAAACTTTCAGAACACACAGGACATCCAAGACTATTCTAGCGATCGAATCCCCGACTACAATGCACAGACCTCCCACTAGATTTCGGACTGCACGAACACTGGCCCTTGGGATGGTCCTCGGTGGAACTCAGGGACAGGTCACGATACAGCTGGTCCTCTAGTGAAGTCACGGTGATGTCTAGGTCATAAGGACTAATGGTGTACAACTATAGCATAGATATCTCTACTCGATTATTGGGAACCACTTAGAGATTTCTAGGGTGAGGGAGTTCAGTGAACTCGTCAACTTACGAGCACCCACTTATGCACGCCGATATCACAATACCGTTTACTGATGAGATGCAGTACACATACACTAAGTGCTAGTCTTAATGGGAAAGGCCGATATCCTCATTAGTGGCGTAACCCTTCGACTAGGAACACGTTTAACAGTTATAATACTTAAGTAAATATCTCACGATCCTAACGATCAATTACTAGTACTTGTAATAACTTTAAGGACTATATCTATGCTTGTGACAAAGGGACAAAGATATAGAATGCCAAGGTGTTTTATCATTAATACGAATAAAGGTTCGTTTATTACAATAATAAATACGAAAAACCACAGCCACATGTTGGCTTGTTGGTCACCTACTCTAACATCATGTGCACGAGCAGTGTGACCCTCGATGGTTCAGGTGTAAGCTAGCCGTGGGCCCACAACCCATTGTGGTCAAAACTCGTCCCCTTCGAGTTACGATTAAGATGAAGCTCGTTTCACCTTAATCACCCAACGAATCAAGATTGGCGTCTAGCAACTACGCGTCATGATTCCCTAGATACAAATGAAGTGCCTGCAAGAACCTTCAGATATAGTTAACGTACAGTACGGTCCCTTCGATGCATATGTCCCGATCGAACTAGAGGCATTGGTTCATCGAGACCTCTTTATATGTTCGATGACGGTGCGATCGTTCCAAGTGTTGTAATCGTCACGTGCATGACTTAGAGAATCGAATTCTCTAATCATCACTTAGTCAGCTCTGGCCAGAGACTTAGAATGATTACAAACTTTCAGAACACACAGTACATCCAAGACTATTCTAGCGATCGAATCCCCGACTACAATGCACAGACCTCCCACTAGATTTCGGACTGCACGAACACTGGCCCTTGGGATGGTCCTCGGTGGAACTCAGGGACAGGTCACGATACAGCTGGTCCTCTAGTGAAGTCACGGTGACGTCTAGGTCATAAGGACTAATGGTGTACAACTATACCATAGATATCTCTACTCGATTATTGGGAACCACTTAGAGATTTCTAGGGTGAGGGAGTTGAGTGAACTCGTCAACTTACGAGCACCCACTTATGCATGCCGATATCACAATACCGTTTACTGATGAGATGCAGTACACATACACTAAGTGCTAGTCTTAATGGGAAAGGCCGATATCCTCATTAGTGGCGTAACCCTTCGACTAGGAACACGTTTAACAGTTATAATACTTGAGTAAATATCTCACAATCCTAACGATCAATTACTAGTACTTGTAATAACTGTAAGGACTATATCTATGCTTGTGACAAAGGGACAAAGATATAGAATGCCAAGATGTTTTATCATTAATACGAATGAAGGTTCATTTATTACAATAATAAATACGAAAGACCACAGCCACAAGTTGGCTTGTTGGTCACCTACTCTAACAATCTCCCACTTGACCTAAAGCCAACTACCCATAAACCGCAATCCCATCGACTCTCGATGTTTCTCATGGACCGATCTCGGTAAAGGCTTCGTGAAGGGGTCTGCAACGTTCTCTTCCGAGGTGACTCGTTCAACCTTAACTTCACCTCTATCAATGATCTCTCGGATCACGTGATACTTCCTCAGAATATGCTTTGACTTTTGATGAGATCGTGGCTCCTTAGCTTGCGCCACGGCTCCGGTGTTATCACAGTACAACGGTACTGGATCACTAGCATCAGGAATGACACCCAACTCTTGGATGAACTTCCTTATCCAAGTCCCTTCTTTTGCAGCTTCAGACGCTGCAATGTATTCCGCTTCGGTAGTGGAATCGGCCGTCGTGCTTTGCTTGGAACTCTTCCAACACACGGCACCACCATTAAGCGTGAATATAAATCCAGAATTCGACTTTGAGTCGTCCACGTCCGATTGAAAACTAGAGTCGGTAAAACCCCCTAATTTCAACTCGGCACCCCCATAGACCAAAAATATATCCTTAGTCCTTCGCAAGTACTTGAGGATATCTTTCACGGCTTTCCAGTGAGCCGGGCCGGGGTTAGACTGATATCTGCTTGTGACACTCACAGCATACGCGATATCGGGTCTCGTACATAGCATGCCATACATTATGCTTCCTATTGCAGAAGCATAAGGCGTCCTGTAACACCCTCCATGTCGTTTATATAATTAAGAATAGTTTTTAGAAAAATGGACTTTATTAAAACCTTCGGATCCTATTTGATCCTTTAGAAAATAAGTTTGGAAATTGTCAAAGCATTTTTCTTTCTTCAAAACATAACCCACATTTGAAAGATATAATTTTCATAAAGAGTGCTACTTCAACATAGACGGGGTTTTAAAGCAATACTTGGAATACAACGGAACACAAAATAACTTTATTTTACATACACCCCGGTTTAATAGACTAGATTCCTAAATAGAGTACATTATAATTACAACTATAAACTTCTCAAGTTAAAAACACTTAAAAAGAAAGTGACTAATAAAATCTTTGAAAATAGTCGGTTGATATAAAAGCTCGTGATTCCTCGAACTCCGCTCCACCAGTTTCCATAACCGCTTCGAGAAACTCAACCTTGACATGGACGAAGAGCTTCCCCTGCTTAACGTATACTCGCAAGGTGTACTCACGTAAACAAAATGGTGTATTAACATGGGGATGCAACGACCACTTAGCTGTAGTACATATAGACATCAAGTCCCTAGTCCCTATAGTCTGTATTAACAATTATAACACATAAATGCAATATGACGGGATACCTATCAGATTCATAACATGGTTATCGGTAATAGACGTCGATATTCTGAGCCCGTTTATTAATGGAAGCTATCCACTCTATAGTCTATAGTACCGTAGTTGGAATACCGGCCCCTCCGTATTTCCGTGTCTACTCGACCGATAGCCATTTAAGATTCTGACTTCCTATACTGACCATGCAATATCATAAATGACAAATCATATAAACAATTCAAAACGTATAAATAAACATACTCATACTTATGTCAATACAATTACTATAATGTGACGGTATCCCTAGCAGATTCATAACATGGTTATCGGTAATAGACGTCGATATTCTGAGCCTGTTTTGAGGGGAGCTACCCACTCTAGTCTATAGTACCGTAGTTGGAATACTGGCCCCTCGTATTCCCGTGTCTACTCGACCGATAACCATATTAAGATTCTGACGTCCCTATATACTTGACCATGCAATACCATAAATGACAAATTATTCAACTCCAATAATATAACCATGTTAGATCGAACTTGCGCTTAGCATAATAAACACATAAACGCCTAACAACATAGCTAACAAACATATTCAAACCATTTTCTTCCTTAGAACTTCTTATTCAAATGACTCGCAAAATTAATTCAAAACACATAAATAAACATGCTTGTAATTCACATATATTATGCAACGTACACGTACCACATACCAGAGGTATCACATACAAGAGAAGGGGATTATCATATTATTTCATAGAACCACTTTCATAGTTATAACATACCAAAGTGATTATCTTAAATGCATCATTCATGCGTTTCCTAAGCTATACATTTATGTGAACATATAAGCATACGATAATCATAATAGCACATACGCACATAATATATGAAATCCAAATCCACATATTCTATTCCAAAGAACTACAAGGAAATCTGGCAGATTCGGTACTTCAACTTTGGAAATTCATATCTCTTAAACCGTACATACAAACATTATGAAATTTTAACACAACGTTCACATATATGTGATTTATACCATATTAAAACAGTTCAGTAAAACATGGATAGAAATAATTCATTTAGTACAGTAACACCAGCAGAATTTCAGAACAGAGCATTCAACTTTAAAAATACTAATTAAATCATTCTTTCAACGAAACACCATGAAATTTCACGGAGAATCAGATTTATCAGTCTATAAACATATCCAGTTGGAATCGCATGAATCGGAACAAGATAAAATATAATTTAACACATAAATCATAGATGACTCAGAAATCCTGCAGTTTCAGAAAACGGTTCATAACTTGATCAATATAATTCCAAATTACGCATACCGTATATCAAAACGAAGCTAACAGACATATTTACAAGCACAATAAATTTCCTAATTTTCAGAAAATAAATCATCGATGAAACATGCACTGGAACCTGAGGCTACGAATCTGGAAATCGAATTAGGGTTCGTTGAAATCTATGTTTCATGACCTAGATCCCTAATGTAACACCCCACCTTTCCAAAACCCGAAAATCCTAAAACCCGAGATTAATATTTCTAACTCGAGAACCCTTAGGTAATATTATTACGTGAAAAATTATTATATGCATTACGTGAATTCAATTATGTTATTTACGCGAATAATTACGTGCGCTATTATATGTGTTATTTATATTTTCGTAAATTGAAATTCTAGGAATTTCATGAATTACGTGATTTATGTGAATAATTGCGTATTTTATCTAGTTGATAAATCACTTAGTAAGTTATGTGGAATATATATATATATATACATATATATGCCTATACATACACGTACATACATGCATACATACATGAATTTTACAAGCATTGCTTTATTATATAATATTATATTATATGTGTATATGTATTAGCCGTGTGAGTGTGTGTGTTAGTCAAAAAGTGATTAATTAAATTATTATTTAATTACTTACACATGGCACCTAGTTGAGTTTTACACTCTTCCTTCTCCTTCTTCTTCCACATAAACCCCCTTGCTTGTCTTCCTCTCTTTATTCCACCGAAGGAACATCACCACCTCCATTCTTCATCTTCTTCCACATCAACTCCTATTTTTCAAAGAAAATGAAAAATTTCTCTAAAATTCCCCTATTTAACCAAGGACTTGGAGTAGCCTAAAACATCATTCACCAAGAAAAAAATATACATCTCACTTAAAAATCCACTCCATCTCCTTCACCATCAAAATAGTTTGGCAAGAACTTGGCATCAACCTTTGAAGCATTTCCTTCGATTTTCCTCCATCTTTTCTTTCGGCTTCTTAAGGTAAGAATTTCCGATTCTTGCTGCAATTAAATGGCATCAATAGTATTGAAAAGATTTTTATGAAATTTTAAAAGATTGGGAAAGATTTCGAGAATTTGGGGCTTTTTGAAAAAAAATGAAAATTTAGTGTTTCTTGTTAAATTCTTGTTCTTGCATGCATAATCTATGTTGATAGTGGTTAGATGCAGCATTTATTGGCCAAAAGCCTTGAGAATTTCAGATTTCAAAAAGGGGTTTTTCAAGAAAATGAAATTTTTAACTTTTTGTGGTTGCATGTGTAGATCTTCGAAAGTTTGGGCCAAATCTGTAATTTTTGTAAAGTTTGTCCGAAAAAGTTTTTTTCAAAACTGATTTCCAGCATTTATTGAACAAGATTTTCGGATTTAAAGGATTTTTGTAAGAAAAAGTTGATTTTGAAGTTTTAATAGACTTGCATGTGTAGATCTAGAGATTTTGGGGCAAATTATGCAATTTCCGAAATTTCTGCATAAAAAGACTTTTCAAATTCATTTTCTGCATCTCATAAAGTGGAATTTCAGATTTGTTAGGGGTTTTCAAGAAAAAGGTGATTTTGAACTTCTAGTGTGGTTGCATGTGTATATTTCGAAACTTTTGGGTCAAAACTGCAATTTCTGAAAAATCTCTCATTTTTAAAGTTTGAATCTGTTTTTCAGCAAGTATTAGATAGGAAAAAGTTTTATTTAACAAGTTTTTAAATTAATTAGAGATATACAAGAGTTTTGGATTTTTAAATTTAAAAAGGGATTTTCCTGAATTTTATTTCAAGAAAATTCGAAACTTTGTGAAACTTTAAAATAATTTCAGAATCTGGAATTTTAGTCAGTTAGGAGTTCTAGGATTTAATTTGAGAAATTTTGGAATTTATTTGCTAATATTTCGAAATTTAGACATTATGCATGTCATTTAATATTTTGTGCCTTAATGCTTCTATTCTTGATATAATGGTGATGAATGATGGATTATAGTATTTGTAGTACTTTAATTTCGGTTGGATGTGTTTAATGGCTGTGGAAATTGATTTGAATGGATTATTACCTAGATGTGGTAATAAGTCCATTAAATGAAGGTAAAAAGGTGTTTTGTTCTTGAGCTTGCTTTGATGAGTAATTAGTGAAGTTTAATGTGTTGATTGTGCATGTGTGTATGCTGAAATTGTGTGAAGGTGTGTGTGCTGATTGTGCATGGTGTGTGTGCCGTGTGTGATTGTGTATTTATGTGTGTGAATTTGGGAGTTTTGCCCAAATCATAAATATGTGGTAAATTGTGGTATTTGTGTGATTTGTGATACTTGATTGACATTTGTGATGTTATGTGTGGGTCATATGCATAATTTCGAAAAGTGCATTAAATGATTTTATTTGAAAGGTTAATGGAATATCGGGTAATAAACAACTCGGATATAGTGGGCCGGTATCCAACTAGGATGATGTGGTAGTGGTTTGATTCCACTTAGTGAAAACGGGCTCGTAACAGGTTTATTATTCGGTACAGAAATTAATCTTTCACGGATCCGATAAACCGAAAAATGTGTTTTTCATGATTTTCACAAAAAGGGCATTTTAGTCATTTTTGCATAATTACGTGATCTTGTGAAATGATGTGCTTTCGTGAAATATGTGATTTGACCGATTGCCTTGTGTTGTTGTGCGAAACGTGGGTAAGAACGGGTATACTCTATTATATATATTATATATATAACGTATTTCTAAAGTTTGATAATACTCGGATTTCTTACTGAGCTTTTTTAGCTCATATAGATGTCTTTTAATTGCAGGTAGTAGTAATCCTCAACCGGGATGGATCGAGTAGTGGATCGAGGTCTTGCCCGGGATTTTGGAAGACGTACGAGGACCTATGAACGAATGCTAGAATTTTGGTTATTTCTTTTGGTGGTGTAACCCTAAAACCGTAACATTTCCCTTTCGTACTTTTGAACTCGTTTTTCATTATGAATCGTACTTATTTCCCAGCTTAAATATATTAAGTTTCGTAAATTGCTATTTTCATGCCTTCGTTAGGAAACTTCGGATTATTCACCAAAATAACCTTTTCGAACTCTGATTTATTCTCGAACCGAAAAGAACGTTTAGTGAGAATGTAGCACTCGAATAAGAAACCTCCTTTCGAAATTCATTTCCAACCGAGATTTATATTCGGCTAAATCAATTCAATAAAAGTTTTCGAAAATGCCAAGTCTTCAACACCCAAAAGAACAAAGTTTCGATAATTGTATTTTCACCCCATCCCAACATTTCAAAAATTACAAAGAGATCCTTTGCTTCCGCTACTTTAGTAAGAAATTCCGATAAACCGGTTCGATTTATCGCCCGACTAGAAGGGGGGTGCTACAGAGAGTGGTATCAGAGCATTGTTCATAGATACTCGTACGAACTTCACGGGCTTAGAGACTACTCGAGACGCAAAACTCGGACCACCCGGTAACGTATGTGTATTATTTTCCTTATGTGTTTTATTTGCTTTACTTATTAATGATAATTAATATAGCAATAATGGCGAGACGTATAACCCGAGCAAACCCGAGCAATCCCGCCGATGAACCGCACGACCCCAATCAAACCATTAATAATCTCTCCAATTTAATCCGAGAACAAGCCCAAAACCACCAACGTCAAATCGAACAACTTCTCCAACGTAATCAAAACCCGCCTCAAAATAATGCGCCTCAAGCCATATACGAACGATTTCTCCGAATGAACCCATCCGAATTTCACGGTGGAACCGACCCCACTATAGCCGAAGAGTGGATCAAATCTCTCGAAGTCATCTACGATTACATGCAAATGACCGACCGCGACCGCGTGCACTGTGCCATTTTCCTCCTCCGAAACGAAGCTCGTAACTGGTGGGAAGGAATCAAAGAAGGAACAAACCTCGAAACTTTGCCATGGACCGATTTCAAAGTCCAATTTTTCGAAAAATACTTCTCGAAAGACGTGCGAGCCCACAAACTCAAGGAATTTCTCGAACTCCGACAAGGCGACTTACCGATGATCGAATACATCCGCCGTTTCGAACGTGGCTGCCTCTACGCTCCATTCATCGCTCGAGACGCCGAAGAAAAGAAGAACCATTTCATTCGTGGCCTCCAACCCGAAGTCCGTAGAGACATTCGTATGTCCGACGCCTCAACTTTCCGCCAACTCGTAGACAAGGCACTCATGGCTGCCCAAGACGAACGATATATTCAAAATAGCCGCCGACCACAAGGAATTACTCCACGCCCGTGGAAAAAGAACAACTTTGGCAACCGCCCATTCCGAGGGAAAGGAACGCAGCCCATTCGCCAATCAACCGGACCACCGCCACCGCCGCCAAGGCCAACCTGCCCAAAGTGTGGAAAGAGTCACTCCGGAGAATGCGTACACGGAACACGGAGCTGTTTTCGATGCCATCAGCCCGGACACATGGTGAAAGACTGCCCGAAACCTCCACCGAACGTCCCCGGTCGAGTGTTCGCCATGACTCAAGAACAGATCGAGCAAGACCCGTCAATGATAGCAGGTACCATATTTATCCTCGAAGAACCCATTTACGCTCTTATCGATTCCGGCTCTACTCATTCCTTTATATCGAAAGACATAATTGCGCACTTAAATCTCGAACCGAACCGATTAAATTACGAATACCGAATTCTCATTCCCTCTGGCGAAGAAATGTGCTCTAACCTAGTCATACTCAATTGCCCAATCCGAGTTCATACTCAAACCATGAATTTCGACCTAATCCTCTTACCGATCCAAAACTTCAAAGTTATACTAGGCATGAACTGGTTAACCAAATTCAAAGCCCAAATCGACTGTGCCTCTAAAACGGTCATTTTTCCACTTCCGAACGGCGAAACCCTAAAATTTCGAAGTCAACCCAAACCCTCGATTCCAATCATATCCGCGATCAAAGCAGTCAAACTCCTTCACAAGGGTCATTCCGGCTACTTAGTGGATATTCTAAAATCCGAGTCCGATCCCAAAGCCCAAATTTCCGATATTCGAGCTGTCCAAGAATTTCCCGACGTATTTCCCGATGATATTCCCGGACTTCCGCCCGATCGAGAGATCGAGTTCGAAATCAACCTGATCCCCGGAGCCGCGCCAATTTCCAAAGCACCGTACCGCATGGCCCCGATGGAATTAAAGGAACTGAAGAACCA